AATGTCATAAAATAATATGTGTACTACTGTTTCATGAGAAAGTATTTGTTCTGTAAGGCTTCACCTGAAGTACAATAAGAAAAAAAATCTCAAAACTAAACAAAAGAAACAAACTGAAAAAGAAATGCCACCAGGGATCCCACTTCTATGCTGCACAGACTGAGGAAGTAGTTCCCAAGCCCCGCGGTACAGCCCAGCTAGAAGGAGCTCCCAAGTCGAAAAATGAAAAAGAAACAAAGAAACAAATCTAAACAGAGTAAATCAAAGCAAACAAACAGGAAAAGGCACCAGGGATCCCACCAGTATGGCAGGGCAGGCTGGGAAGCAGTTCCACAGTCATGTGGCATTTCACAGCCTTTCAGGAAGAAGCAAAGATGGCACACGGAGCCAGGCATTTGGGAAAAAAGAGGGGGACTTGGTGAGAGGTATGGATGAAACCAAAAGAAGTAGAAAAAAGCACCACCAACAACAAACAAATGGCATTCACAGAGCCAGCCAGTGTGGGCTGGTGGAATCCAAGTGGCAAAGGGCTGAAGCCAAGGCTTCCCTGTCAAGAGACTGTGGCCACAGAAATCAGAGGAGGCTTAGTGGGGATGAAGAAGGGTGGGGGATGGGAAAGCATATATGGCTGGTTACCAGTTGTTTGGTTTCCTGCTGGGAGCTCCATGAAGCTGCTTTTAATACTCCCTGTTCACCGATCTGTGACAGGAGTCTAAGTTGGTGAATCTGTGCTGTGTTAGCTGACAGGGGATCTCTGCACATATCTCTCCTTGCTCTCTGTTCTCTGTCAGTTTCTTATTCCATTCAGTGCTTGGCTAAGTTCGTTATCTTTTTATTTGATCCTTAGGGTTTCAGGATTGCTGTTTGTCTCCATTTGCCTTAGTTTTTCGGGTCTTTGCTGTGGAAGGATGGCACTATGTTGGCCCTGGTTTTGGTTTTCAACTGGGTGCTCAGCTGAGAATGTGCACTAAGAGCCTCAGTTTCTCTCTTTGTCACAGCATCATGGGGATTATATAACTTCACTAATACAATTACTCTTAAGACACTTCTATTTAAAATGGGGAAAGGGACAGCAAACAGCCGCTGGTCCTTACCAATTCTGAAATCCTGGTAGAAGTTGTTGCCAGTTCCTTAATTAAGGTTCAGTGTGATTCTCTGGGAATTGTTCTCCATGATGTGTGGCTCTGCTTTCTGAGTCACCCTGGCTCTACAATAAGAAAACTGAGTAGTCATCTCAATCAATTTACTCCTTAGACCAAACTAGTGATACTCCTGCCAGAAATACTTGCTTGCAAACATTGTGAGTTTTCCATGAATCTTACTGGAATTTACTCCATTAGGCAAAAGCCACAACTACCAACCTTCATAAGCCCTTTTCAACCTGGAAGTCCCTATGACTCTGCTGCACTACAGTGCCCTAAAAACATTTTAGAAGTCCTATTTATTTGTAACTAAAGAAAATCTGCAAGACTCCCAAGATTCATAGAAGATCTTTTGTCTGTTTGAAAGTTTATTTAAGGTACTGTCTTAAATCATTATGAAATCTTAACAAATGATTTTACAGTCACAACTTGTATGAGATCTTTGGTCTGAGGCCCTTTCTTAATTTGAGACTTCTTTGCTGAGAGAAGCAGTTTTATTTTTTATTCCACTGGGTACTGGCTCCTTTAATATAATATATATTTTTTTTTCTTTAGTTCATCTCTCTACTCTTAGATTTTAACATAGGTGGTGAAAAACCAATTAGCATTTTTAATATTCTGTCTGGAAGTCTCCTTAACTAGGTCTACGCGTTGTTAAATCACATATAGGTTCAGCAAATCTTCCCACAGCAACATTTTGCAAATGTTTCCTGATAGTTTCTTATATATTTTATGTTTGATGTTCACATTGTTCTTTATTTCATTTAAAATTTAATTTATTTTCATTATGTGATTTAGGATCTACCTTGGTTTTTTCAAAAGTAGTATGTATTTATTGAATGACACATCCCCATCAAAATGAATGATTTCCATCATTTATCAAAAAATACAAATTATATTGTTCTGTAGTAAACCATGTATCATGTACTATTCAGTAACTCAACCACTCATGCTTATTGCCGAGGCCCTAATTTCAGAGCAAAAACACCACTACAAGTTACAGCAGTAGAACGAATATAATTTTTAATTAATTTACCAAATATAAAATAACCATATAGAAACAATGCAGCCAGATTGGCAAAGCAAGGGCAAAATAACTTGATACAACACAAAAGAAGAATTTAAATGGGATTAATAAAATAACAAAACAATACTTTGGAAACGTAACTTGTATCCAGATAGGGTACCGCCATTTTGGCAAATTATGCTCAATATTGATATAAATGTTTTTCCAGCCATCTCCTCAAGGCCCCCTTGACTTCTTTATTCCTTACACTGTATATAAAGGGGTTCAAGACAGGGGTGAAGATGGTATAAAAAGCTGAGACCACCTTATTGTGGTCCACTGAACAGTAAGTTTTGGGCCCCATGTAGATGAACACGAGGGTGCCATAGAAGAGTCCCACAACTTCCAGGTGAGAGGAGCGGGTCATAAAGTCTTTCTTTCAGGCTGTAGTTGACTGCATGCTGAGCACTGCAGCCAGGATGAGGCTGTATGAGGCCAAAATGAGAGACAAAGGAATCAAGGGCATCAGAATGTAGCAGACATACATGAAAAACTCAAAAATCGTGGTGTCAGCACAGGCAAGGCATACTAGTGATGGTGCCTCACAAAAGAAGTGGTTGATTTCCCATGAGTGACAGTAAGGAAAGCTCAAAGTGGCACCAGCCTGCATCAGCCCATCAACCCCTCCGAGGAGCCATGAACCTGCTGTCATGAGCAAGCAGAGCCTCTGACTCATGAGAATGGTGTAGCACAGTGGGTGACATATGGCCACATAGCAGTCACAGGACATGGCCACTAAGAGGAAGCATTCACTCCCTCCCAGAGTAAGAAACAGGAAGATTTGGGCTCCACAGCCAGTGGGAGAGATGGACCCCGTGTCCATCAGGTAGTTGGCTGTCATTCTGGGAACAATGGTGGAGACCAGCATCATGTCCATGAGAGAAATCTGGCTAAGCAGGAAGTGCATGGGCGTGTGGAGTTGAAGGTCCACATGGGTGAGGATGATCATAAGGGCGTTGCCCATCAATGAGGTGATGAAGATCATGAGCACCATGGCAAAGAGGAACAGGTGAATCTGTGTGTGGTTAAAGAGCTCTAGAAGAATGAAGTTTATCCCTGTGGTGTCATTTGCATTCTCCATGGCTCCACTGGTGCCTGAAAGACGTAAGAATGATGAAGAAATGAGATTTGGTTAAAAGGAAGCTTGGACATATCTTTATGAACACTTGATTAAATGACTTAGGAAATCTCAGACTTGGAGGGCTAATTATTACTTTAATCTTTCACTTACGAACAAGATTTTTCCCATAGTATCCTACCGTCCATCTCTGCTGTTACTACACACTATTTTCGATTCACACTAAATTGGACAACATCATATACAGTTAGTACAAATTACACCCCTATTATTTTTTAATAATTTGTCAGTATGCCACACATAATTTACTCATGGTGTTAATAAATATTACTTATGCAATTCCAGTTATTTACATTTTTGGTATTTCTATATTGAAGGACGTTCAAATTTATGCACTATAGTAGATATTGAGATGATATGTCTCATAATTATTACTTTTGTACGTGTTTTAGATATTTGCTAACTGTTTTCTTACATGATTTTCTTCAATATCAAGAGAAATTAAAATTTAAAAATTTACAAAAAAAGTACTACTAATAAAAATAAGTTTCCTGGGGGAAAAGAAAGTTAAAATTCTCTATTCCACACTTACATGGAGCCTATGCTCTAAACACACTAGCCATCACAGTTACTACTTCTCCCATCACCATATAATTCATATTATCATGACTTGTATTCCAGATTAATGTGTTTATGTCCATTAAGTTTAGAACAATCTCAACATTTAAACTTCGTATGTGGTATGTTCTCAAACAATGCTGCTGATTTAATTGAATATATACATTCCAAAAAAAGTTAATAATGTCATTAATGAACATAACTAAATGAACATAATGAATTTGTATTACATGCAGACTTTCACATCAATTTGGTCAATTATCTTATATTTTTAAAAGTAGAAGACAAAAACTAATCTGTTAATTATGACTTATCCAAATTATCTTGTTCTCATAAAATGAGCCTGAGATCCAGCATCTCCTACAAGTAAAATATAGAGCTATTCATTTACTTCCAGCAACAGCTTCTCTTTTCACTAAAACCTATGGCTTCCATTTATTTTACATCTAAGTATTTTTTGGTAGTAGAAATGGAAGCAGATGCAAATGGATTCACATATTATACTTAGGTGAGTGATGTCTTTTGCTTACAAATTTAAATTTGTCAAAGAAAGCAATGAATTCAGGATTACCAAGGGTATTATGTTAAGCCTTCATTCATAATCTATCAAATCCTTTTTTAGTTTCTCTATACACTGATTAGAAAACAGTGCAAATTTTGTGAATGGTCTTAAGATCTTTAATACATATTACCATTTTTTGGCGCCTAGTGCATACCACCAGTGATCTTCATACTATTAAAATATGTAGATGTTCCATTTTCAAAATCGATGTAAATATGCTATAATAGTGGACATATCACTTTCTCATGCTTTATTCACTCAAACATATATTTTTGAGTGAAATATACATATATTCAGTTTAATATATTGTTAATTACTGCCAAATTTTATTACATCATATATATATGCAGTTTACATATATAAGTACATATATATATATATATACACATATATCATATTTATTTAAGAATATTTAGGTTCTTTCTAATCTTTTGTTAATATTACCCATATGCAGTTTACATATATAAGTACATATATATATATATACACACATATATCATATTTATTTAAGAATATTTAGGTTCTTTCTAATCTTTTGTTAATATTACCCATATCATTGTGCATGTGGCAATAGTTTCTTAGTTTCTCAAGTAAATATTTTACTAGAATATTTTGGGTTTGAGTCAACTCTCAATTTTTGTAACAAATTCCTCCACATGTGGTATTGTTTAAGTGTGATAATTAATGACAATCATATAAGCATGAAAATAAATTTAAATTACATATAACTTAAATTACACGTCAAAAACTATTTTAATCTTTTCATCACTCTTTTAGATTTCTTCTGCAAACTCTCTGTGAATATCTCTATAAAGGATATTGATTATTATCATTATTATATTATTATTGGTCATCCATAGATGTTTCCTACCAAAATGTTTTGAAAGTAAAATTAGTATTTTTTACATAACTCACATGTAATGTAACGTTACTTATTTCTTATCAAAAACAAAAATATCATTACATCAGTCTTTTTTCAGCATAAGTGACATGTTTTCTGTGTCTCTTTAGATTTTTCTCTCTGCCCTGTCTACCTTTTACGAATTTATTTTGAACATAGAGTAAACCCGTGACCATGGTAAATTTAATTATTCCAAGGCTATTAGTTTCTTTGATTATTAATTTGAAATGTGTTCTTATGCCTTTAATATTCAATGTGTTGTAAGAATTGTAATATATATCATGAAACTTGTCACACATTCAATAATGTCTTTCAAACTAAAATTTTAAAAGAGTAGGGAAAAAGATAAAATATTATTATGTTGTATTTCACATCAAAAAGGCAATTGTACCCAAGTGAATTCCATTCTGTGTAATTCCATAGCACCAAAGTGAAAGAAGGATAAGCAGATCAGATGAATTTCAAGTTGTCTATAATATTTCTGTACACATTTAAAACAGGATAAAATGTGTTCTATTTTATTTTCTCATCGTATAAAATATGTAATTACAGAGAACTCAGAGTACTTTTAGATCCACTGTCTCATTTTTCTCTCTACTTCAACGTGGTGTCACCAGAATTAGCAAAGCTGGCCCTTTCCAAAGTGTATACTCTAAGTTACATACCTAGCTGGCCAATATTTGGGCCTGGCATTGATATGTTCTTTTCTTCAATTTGCTCCAAAAAAATTAAAGTCAAAATGACTCTTACTTCACATCTACATAATATAGCTGGAGTAACTCGGACACAACAACGATGTTGATAACTGTAGCAAACAATGTCCCGAGTACTATGCTAACTCTGGATGTGCATTGTCTCATGCAGTGTCACAATAATTAAATGAGGTAAACTTTGTTATTGTTTCAGATTTGCAGATGAAGAGCTGGAGAGTTAGTTTAATTTATTTTTCCCTGTTCTCTAAAGTAGGAAGCATGGGTCCAGAATCCTGGTTATGAAAGTAAACTTCCCACTATTATTTTGGGCTTCCCAGTTTTGTGATGGAACTATTATCTTAATAATGACAAAACGTCTTGAATAAAGCAAACAAAATAGATAAAGAACAGACTCTCAAACACATGGTTGTTGTTAGATGCCACTAAGTCACCCAACGCATGGCTACCCCATACACAATGAAAGTAAACACTGCCCAGTCCTGTGCCATCCCCATAAACGGTTGTTGATTGGACTGTTGTGATCCATAGGGTTTACGTTGGCTAATTTTTCAGAAGCAGGTTGCTAGGCCTTTCTTCCTAGGACATCTTAGTCTGGAAGCTCTCCTGAAACCTGTTCAGCATCACAGTAACACGCAAGCCTCTACTGAAAGACAGGTTGTGGTTGTGGGTGGGTACATTGGCTGGGAATCAAATCTGGGTCTCTCAGGTAGAAGGCAAGCATTCTACCACTGAACTATAAATGCCTTACCTCAGACCTGTAGGCTAGACTGAGTAATTGTCTTTCACGTAACTGATAATTACATAAAGTTAAACAAGTCAAAATATTTGTTGTAGTCAATCTCAGTGGGTACAGTCCCAGGCTCTGTAGTGATACCAAATATATCCTCATTGCAAAATGTAAGCACTAAGTGAATACATTGTTAATAAATATACAAATAAATAAATAAACAAATACATACATACATAGGAATGTTGATTTAACTGAGTGAAACAGAAATTTCTGCCCTCTTTGTAGTTTCAATCACATAAATAACTATATCCAGAGCTTCCAGTGCATCCGCAGTTTGAGCAGGAGGGAGCAGTGGAGGTTAAGTCTGTGAGCTTATGAATCAGAAAAGCTCACTTCCAGTCTGTATTTGAGCAATTGTGAGTTCTGTGTATTTAGGCACCTCTCTTATACCCTATGTGTCTCAGATTAGTGTATTTAAAACTGGTAACTGTCTTACAGGTTTGTTGTAAGAAAGAAATAAGGTAGTATATGTAGAATGCTTAATTAAATTACTTATATTTAGTATGTTCTCAATAAAAGATAGCCAGCATGACTTTTACCTTCACACAAACTCTTCTCCAAAGGGATATTCGTAAATAGAGAATTTAAAAGAATCAAATATACGCATCCATTTACCTTAGAGCCAGAGCGTTAACTAAAACTCAAATTTCGTAAAAAACTTACTACAGGTATTCCTCCTCTTAAGACATATTTGAGTTACAACGAACTGCACTTATAACCATCTCCTTTTTTGTACATAATATTGTTAGTAATATGTACTACATACAGTGTTGCGGTACATAATTCGCTGATGTTATCATTCTCATGTCAATCTCAAAAGCAAATAAAGATTGGATTTATAAAGATACTGATAATAAAAGGCAATAACAATGAAAAGTATTTTTAAAAAATTAGATATTCTACTTACATCAGAACTGACTTATGACAGAGTCTTCAGAATGGACCCCTGTCGTAAGTTGGGAACTACCTGTAATATTTTCATAATTACGATTTGATAAAGATACATTTGTGCAGTATAAGTATGAAAGGATGTTCTGTCTCACAGAAAATTAAGAAACACATAATTTAAACCAAATATTTATAATTTTTATATTCTCAAACATTATACACTCAATGTTTCTTTATGATATGCATTACCAGTAGGAATTCAATGACGATTACTCTCAGGGTAAATGTGAAAAATCCTTTATAAATCAGTTTGTCAATATGGAGTGAGAGCCACAGAGCTATTCTTGTCCCTTGGAAGCATTGCCATATGTTCTTGATATCATTCTAAAAAATGATCAAAAAGAAAGGGATGAGAGGAGACCTCATAAACACAAAAGGTATATTTTGCAAGGTTTTTCACAATATGTATCCCAAACTATTATGGAATTAATGTATTTCCCATGGAACACAATATAACAGCTGGAACAATCT